TTCATTCACCACCACCACCCCCCATTCATCCATTCAGAGGAAAATACTACCTGGAAAGGCCAGCAAGGACTAGCTAATGTTAGTCTGTGAAGAAATATAATAGAAGTACAGCATTAGGCTGTTCCTGTGCAAAGAAGATATAGCTATTTTAAGTATCAACTAAAGCTGCTTATTCACAGGCTCCCTGTAAAATACGAGATGTCATAGATGAAATGCTTAGAACGGGTGTTTAAGGAAGACAGCACAACAAACATTTACATAATATTTAAATATTAATATTTGTAAATAATACCTGAACATCTGCTGGCTAGAACAAGGTCACTGACATGGAGATAACTCCTCAAGGGTCAAAACAAATGCCATTTATTTTAGGTTATGGAGGCTACTTTGAACTTCAGCAAACCAAAAATCTGTGTCATTAGCACTGGACCGAATAGCCTGTCTCTAATGGGCTGACAGCAGACAGGACAGCCATGCCTATTGGGCTGTTAATAACACAATTTATATAGCATTTGCTTGCTCGCTTGCTCTTTCCAGAGATATCTTTTCTTGAAAAACCTTTCACCTTCCTCTGATGTTCTTCCATTTCACCTTGCATGACCTGAGTCTCTTCTTTCTAGTAGTCACAACTGTGTTGTGCTGGTAGCTTTCTGACTGTCCTCTGCAGACAAGCAAAAGTCCCCATGGCCACCATAAATCACCTACTGACCCTGTCCTCATTTTAGCGTTTTCCATTACAAGTTCAGTGATGAAGCTGTAAGGTGGTGGTTCACCAAAAATTTTGAATGTTAACAGCTGTTCATTATTCCACCAAGCTTGGGAACCATCACATTTACAGAACTGGACTTCATTATAGTCTAATGTCACTCACAGTTTCCTTATGATATCTTTTTTTTTTTTTTCCAGAGATGAGTTGCTCTTTTTCACTTGCAACATAACATTATGGGCCTGATGCAATACCATGAGGCTGGATTCTCAATTAGACCATGGTCCCTTAGCAGCACTCAGAGAGCAGAAAGGACCTTACGGCTGTGACCAAATACAATTACACCTGTCCCGTAGGCTCTTCTACTATTCTTCAGCAGTACAAAAACCTTTATGTCACATGCAAGTCAGACTACATCCGTTTCACTGGCATTTACCACAGTGAAAAACTGGAATAAATCACAGTGCCTAGCAAATCACAGTGACTGCGTGATGAATAATATTATAGAAGAAATATACGGATCACCTCGTAAGAAGCTTTAGTTTTCTTTCTTTTATATTCTTCCATCAAGCTCATCATCTGTCACTAAAAACATACTGCATATATAGCTGTGCAAGAATCTCTAAAATTCAAGCCATCTCCTTGCATGTAAGTTATGCTTTCCAAGGCTGGAAATTCTTGCCATGTTTTGTTCTTTATTGTATGCAGCTTTAGCACAACTTTGCGGATACTCCATCTCTGCTCTGGTCAGCTCTGCGAGATGAGGTTGTTCTGAACAAAAATTACAGAAATCCAATGTTTCCTTCACCAAAAGCCACCTTCTCATCAAAGCTATCAGGACATTTCTGAATTATATAAATTTTATAAATACTACTCCAAGCTTTTAGGCTCTAGCACTATTCTAATGCTTATAGCGTGGAAGATAGTATAGGAAAACAAGAACAGAAGGAGATTAAAATGCAGTTATATTAGAGCTGGAAGAGTAACTGTGCAACAAGTGTCTGCTTGGTGTGAACTGTGCACAAAGATCTTCTTCATGGACTCTGGGATACCAATAAAAATAGTAAATATTTGATCTATTTACAGAAGCATCGCACAGTGATAACAGTGGACGCCAAAACCTAAACTATCAGCACAACACATAACAAACGCCCTCAGCTTTCCCAGAAGCACAGGAATCCTGTCCCTGACACACATGCACCCAGGGAAAGACTCACTCTTGAGTCCCAGCTATTTCCTAGTAAGTTGAGGGAAGGAGCTCAAAGGAGAGATCCTCTCCCAGAGCAGTGCTCACAGCCCACCCGCCTCTACCCAAGGAGTCAGCAGGTCTTCTGACTGCAGTTGCGGTGGTTGTCCCAGGGAGAAAGCAGCGCTTCAATTCTGTCATCATCAGACATTTAGAGGTCGTGAGCCAAGCTCCAAAAACTAAGGTCGGCTTAAAAATCTAAAAACCCAACACACCACGCCAATCTTTTATGATTTGAGTTTCTAAGATTTATGAGGCACACATTTTGAGGATTTTCTCCACAACCAAAAAGACTAGAAACATTCCCTATCTGTATCTTTCTTACGGATTTTCTTTTTTTTTCCTCCCCACAATGGAGGAGATCCTGCATAAACAAACAGCTCCAGGATCTGACATTAAAATAACTTTTAAAAGAAGATAAAGTGTCACAAGAGTCAAGGCAAAACCCATGAGAAGCACTGGCTTGGAAAGGTCAAATCACATTGCTCGTATCAGATCAAAATCCGTACTTTCAGCTCTGGCCAAAAAGCATACAACAGCCAGTTCTCATACGCCATTTGCTGCCATGAAATATCCTAGTTAAGCAGGTGGCTGCTGCAGTTTCTAACCTCAGAGTGAACCTGCAGAACCTGCTTAGATGAAGGATATGCTTCCTCAGCAGGCTGTGAATTGCGTCTCCTTGCCTCAGCAAGAGAAATCATCTTTCACTGCTTTTCGCTCCTGTCAGCACTGCAGAGGTAAACCAACTCCAGGAGAGCCTAAAATCCTGGTGTGACTCATCCAGTGTTGCCAGACCACTAGATGAGCTGCAGGCTCATTCATACATCTACATGACATCCCAAATGACTGACACTGATTTCTGCCTCCCAGAGGCAAAGTCTGATCCCCTTCCGCTTTCCAATCAGCAGAGTTTGCCATTGACTTCACTGGCAGCTGGCTCAGGAAAGGAGTTTTCCTTAGGCAACAGCTAGGAAAACCATTTACTGCTAAAACCAACTCCATTAAGCTGATATGACCAAGACAAATAGTAGTCCCATATTTGCACTCCCTCTCTGAGCTGGTTACTTTTTCTGCTTGTCCTATTCCCTTTAGCTTGCATTTAAAAACGATGCAGATGAACTATGGTTTGGGTGGCCACCCTCAGTGAGACAAGTTAGTGGTCACTGCTGGAAAAAGGCAACCGTTTGGGATTCTCCTCTTTCCTACTAGCGTATTTTGCAGGCTGTGCATGGTCCTGTCCACCTAGGGCCCACAACTGCACACAATGCATACTATGTCCATGTTATGGGCATGCAGGTATACCTGCAGGTTCTGAATACATCCCACTATGGGACTTTCAAATCTGGGCCTGTGTCTGAACTTTGCTTCTCCCTCTCTTTTGCTCCAGGAGTGCCACTGGAACAAGCACATTCACCTCCCCCACGAGAGTGGCGCACCAGAAATGATCTTCAGCACCGGAAGCACTGTCTTCTGAGGGGAAAGGAACAACTCTGGCATAGACACAAGCCTTGTAATAAACAGTGAAAATGGTCATCAGAGGAAAATGTATTTGCAGCCAGATTACTATACAATAGTGCTTCCTATCTGAATACAGGACAAGAATAAAGCAAAGAGAAAGTTACTGCTCCAGAAGCAGCCACAGGAGCACTCCACTTTCCCCTCTTTTAAAGCCTTGGAAAGGGAAGAAGAAAAAGACAGGGGATCTACAGAGATGGGGAACAGGGGAAACTCTGAGCTTGCAGCAGGACAGGACATTCACACAGAATTACGCAGAATCATGCAGAATCACGCAGAATGGTTTAGGTTGGAAGGGACCTCTGGAGATCATCTAGTCCAACCTCCCTGCTCAAGCAGGGACCTCTAGAGCATATTGCCCAGGGTCACATCCAGACGGGTTTTGAACATCTCCAGGGAAGGAGACTCCACTACCTCTCTGGGCAACCTGGTCCAATGCTCTGTCACCCTCACAGTAAAGAAGTTTTTCCTCAGGTTCAGATGGAACTTCCTGTGGTTCAGTTTCTGCCCGTTGCCTCTTGTCCTGTCGGACAATTCCTAGTATTTAAGGACATATTTAGGGATCTTAGCAAAGAAATTACTCAACATAGCATGGTATCTACTTCTTATTTTTGTTCGGAAGGATGAATCATATTTAATTAGCGATCTATCTTCATGTGTGCTGAACCATCTATTTCTTATCCTCCTTCAGAAGACAATATATGATCTAGTAAGATAAGCCAATGATAAAGCACTGCTATGTTGAGCAAACCATGTAGGATGCCATGTGATTGCCAAAACTGGTGACAGAGCAGCGTGCCAATTAAGCAAAGCCAGACTGATTGGAGCAGATATCAAGCCAACACCTCACAGACCCAAGCTTTGCAGACAATACCCGCCCTACAAGATTTTATGTGATCAAAGACGTGAGACCTGCTTAAGAAGAACAGAAGATGGGAGAAAAGAAGCCTAAAAGGTCCGGTAAGGAAATCAAAACCAGTGGTGAGAAATGGGTCATCAAGCCAAAAAGAAGGCTGGCTGGACAATCCTGACGATGACCATCTCCTCCTGGAGCCAAGTGGATTTAGCCAGGTCAGTCAGAGAAGCCAATCCCATGACTCATCGGTCTTTTTGTTTTTGAAAGGTCATGTTCCTTCCCTAATCCACCCTGCAAAGCGATCCACCTAATAAGTTCTTTACTATGCAATTTGATCAAGTCAACTGAGAAGCTCCTTGCAACTTCACAACTGCAAGTGAACATTAAAACCTGCAGCCTGTCCTCCTTCTCAACCGAGTGAAATATTTACCATGAGGCTCACACCCAAGCTTTGGAGAATACTAGCAAAAAGGAAGCGACTTTAGCAACAGAAGGAATTGTACCTGTACGGAGTGCAGGTGATGAGGTGAGGATGAGGCCTGCTCTGAATGACCTCAAAGTATCTGCTGAAAACAGGCAAGTCCTTTCCGTTCCACTGGTGTAGGGAGGACTTATCTGGCCAGATGCACTTTTTAAAACAGATGAGCATAAAATTAACAGAACCATATTATTCTCACCTCCAAAAGCCGGCCTCATGGTGAAATCATGGTCATCAACTCTGAGGAGCTGCTCAGTCTTTCCTTTCCGAGTTTTGGTCAGGTCATGATTCTTCTTATAGATGTGACTGCAAAAGATAGCAATAGGATTGATCTGTTGCCTTCATACCCCAAGCAGCACGCTGAAGCTGATTTATGTCTTTGTTATTTCAGAGTCCCTGCTAAGATTTACAACATGAATGGTAGTTTTGAGAGAGCAGTCCCCATGCTGGGAACTGGGAGAGCAGCTAGCACTGCAGAACAGACCAGCGTGACAAGCCCTGAAGCCGATTCTCCACAGTGTTAATTTAGATGATGCTTTCCCTGCTGGCACTCTTGCAAGTTCAGCCTGGCTCCAAGGCAGACGCTCCACACTCTCTGCTTCAGACATTACAGTTCCCCGGAGAGGTGCTAGGACAAATACCCTCCTTATGGAAGGTATGGCTCCTTATGGAGGAGTCTGGATGCAGAGCACATAGGAAGCACTTTTTTCTGCAAATGCAATGGCCCAGAATAGGCAATAATAAAACATGCAGATTCTGAACCATAAACCCTGTTGTAACTTTGCCTGGTACCGTCATGCAATGTCATATGTTATTCTGAGAATATCTGCCCCGTACTCATCAATACCAGCCAAATATCATCTGTTTGTGTGGGCAGAGGGATAGCAACTTGTCTTTTAATTTTAAATAATGACAAAACTACCCATTGTCCTCCACAGCATTGGGAAAACACGGTTTTATCTAAAGAAGTCAGCAAGACCTGCAACCCTTCCCTTCACTGAACTTTAGGAAACAAAAGAAACTTTTTATTTGAAGATCATAGATTATATCAGCATATAGAGCAAGGATGACAACAAGCCCCTGAGAAAACTGCAAGAAAGTCACTAAAATGGCAGACAAACAGATACCGCGTACACTTTCAGAAGAAAAGCTGGATCAGTATCCCCGCTGTTCCCCAGTGGTGCAGGAAGGAGGATGAGAACCATTAAGATTCCTCAACCCCTTTGCTTTGGACTTAAGATCTGATAAAGTTCTAAATATTTCTGACAAATGGCTAATTGCAGAAACTTAATAAAAATAACAATAGTAAATAAAGAAGACAAGATGCAGAAGGGTTAAGATCTATTTGCTTGTGTGGGAGGAAGGTTACCGGCTAGTAAAGAAAAAGATCTCTGAAGAAAAATAAGTGGACTGCTCTAATAGGTACAAAAATGAGAGTAAATTAGGTGGAAACATCTCTGCTGAAAACTCACAGTGTACAAAACAATCACCACACTTAGAAGTGTGTGTGCCAGCCCAACCTTGCGTGCAGCACTACTCACAGGAACAGCCTCACTGAAATCAAAAGAATCAAGCCCACGTGGACAAGCTGGGCAGCATGAAGGCTAATTGAACTGCATGCCTGTAAGTAAGAGCAAAATTTGGTCATTGTTTCCACCTGGCCAGCTGCACGCCCTGTTGCACAAATATAAAACACTGCAACTGTCCAACAACAGGAGTAAGAGACCTCTATAGTCAGGGACCATTTCCTGCAGAAATGCAAACTGATTTCAGTGCTGGGCCCCAAAGTTACTCAGCTAAACCGACTGTATGAAAACGTTACTAAAATTCATTTCTCCAGTCCTCTCATGCAATTCTCTCTTGCTTTGCATGTCGAGTGCTTCTTTAAGTCCTCTCTCCTCTCTGAAGGGCTCCTCCAGTGAGCTTGTGCATAAGTTTCCCATAGCCCCCTCAGAAGCACCCCAACCTAATAAGGCTACTGTACAAACACTCTCCATCCTATATAGGGAACCACATCTTTCCTCTTCTCTCCTCCCTGAAAGTGCAGAACACAGGGAAGGCCATGGAGGTGCTTAAGGGTCATTAAAATGCAAAGCAGAAAGAGTATGAGCAAAGGGAGCATAAACTGCAGATCAGGAAAATATTTCCTCTCAGAAGATTCAATTCAGAAGAGCAACAAGAAAATTAAGGGGCACTGATAACAGTTGATAATACTGATAACCTATTCACTTTAAAAAGGAGACGAAAAAGAAGCAACAGAATAAAAATCAGGTCAAAAACCATAACAAAAGTAAAATAGAATGGAGGAGATGGTTCAGGAACATCTTACTTGACATCCCAGAAACAATCCACCCCTAGAGTCAAGGGCTCTAAAAACGTCAGAAAAGGATTTGGCATTTCTGTGATTTATATTAAACGGGTGTTCTGAAGGAATATAAATCCTTGTGCTCCAGGGCACATGTCACATAGGAAGGTCTGGATTTCTCTCACCCAACTTTGGGCTCCTATTTGAATCAGGACCTAGGAGTCGTTCTCTCTCCCAGCTAGCTTTAAAGGAGAACCAGCTAGAGCAAGTGCACTTCCAACTCAGGTTCATTAAAAGTTGCCTAAAAGTAGGGGGATAAACCCAAGCATAGCACTTAACAGGAATGGTTTGGAAAAAAGTTCAGCTCATAAGGGCTAGCTGCAGAGGGAGTTGGTTGTATTTCCTCTTTGCAAGTTAGGGCTGGAGACACCGTTTCACTTGACAGTCTGTAGTATGGCCTCTGACTCTGAAAAACTGGAGACGGAGAAAAATGATCTTATTGAGTCTACTTGACTCTAATTAGTGGAAGACCTGAGTACCAGTGAAACACTTTTCAGTGAAATCTCTCTACTCAAAGAATTAAAAAAAAAAAAAAAAGCAACAATCCAAGAAAACATTGGATTTTAGGCTATATGAGGAGTAGTATGGAAAACCCCAACAATATAACAATGCCATCCTGTAAATCAGTGGTACAACCTCACTGAAATAGCAGTTCATTTAAAAACACCTAACAGCAGACAGCACACAGGAGAGACGCTAAGTACAATTATGTGCCTTGCAAAAGCAAAAACAGGATCGCACACCTTGTCGCTGTGAAATCAGTGCAAGCTGCATCTGTGTTAAAAGCAGCAAAAATAAGCCAGTGTATTTAACTGCAAAGGTACAGCACTGTGACGATGCTTAGCTTTCCAGTATAAAAAGGCTGCTTGGGCAGTGAACACTGCAAAGAGCCAAATGACGCCAACATATCTGGCTATGGGAGATAACTGGTCTAGCGAAGGGAGCCAGAAGCCACTGTTATTTTGAATACAGAGCCAGGAGGAACTGTTATTTACGATACGACGGTGAATATATGCAGGCTGGCGAGGAAGAAGGGTCTATGCTCTAACATCTCACAGTCTAAACAGACAACTATGCAGCTAGAGCACAGTCAGAAGGAGTAAAAATTGAACCTCCTGACTTTGCCAATGCCCTTAAGCAAGAGACTTCACCTCGCAGTTTCCTGGCTGGACAAGAAGCAGCCGAGACAGCACACACAACAAGTAAGATTCAGTCCGCTTTGATTCCACCACAAGTCTCAAGGGCCAAGTCCTCCTGGACTATCCATCTGGACAAAATTTCTGTTTCAAAAGCACAGTGTTTTTCCTGGTTGAAGCATGAGGCTTCACACAACTGTGAGGAGATTAAAAGGCAGAGGCAGACTCAAATGCAGACAGGCAAAAACCACTGGAATCGCAGTATTCCAGCCAAGGAGACAAGCAAATAGGGCTGGATGCCTCCCGAGCCCTCCCTTCTAGCACAACTTACACAAAGCAATAAACATTATCAGAAGCGTCATTTTTTACAGTTTTACTTTTTCTAGACAGAAGTTTTGTCCAGATGGATAGTCCAGGAGGACTGCCAGCATTTGTTTATGGTTCCTGATCTGTAGTCACCACAGAGCTACTGAAGAGTACCCCAAACTCTTTCAATTCCACAAGGTTGGTTATGCCAAGAGCGCTTACTTGGCACTTACAGAAAGGCTGATGCTTCAAGGAAGCTAGAAACACACACACACTGTACAGTTAATACTACACATGACAAATCTGCCGTGCTCTGGCAACGGTACCTTAGAGTGCGTACAGTGCTGTCTCTGGAAAATCCAGGTTAGCAACATGGGAGCGCTGACCATGGCCCATATCCTACATGCGCCCTTGCACCTTTACATACTTCGCAGTCCCCTTCAGCACCAACGCCTGCACGTCCTGTCAGGAAATTTATTCACAGTTGTGCATGTAAGACCAGGGCCCCATGTCCCCTGCCCAACAGTCACACCAGTGACTCTGACAGCAGTTCTTCCTTTGCAGTTCATTTATCACTCGGTTTCTCAAAAACAGAATGAAATGCAAAATATTTAATCAACAATTCTTCTCTGTTAGGTATGAGCCCTTGTTTTACCTTCACGGAGGAACAAACGGATGGTTTTGTGCAGCATTCATCAGGCTTGTACGTCAACGAGAACGCACTCAACTTCACACAAATAGGTGTCATTAAATCCCTTCACGCAGTTTTGTAATGCAATGACAGACTGTACCATTGGAAAATGTAAAAAATACCATCAAAGGAGCTGTTACTCTGTGACCACATATCAATTTTCTACACAGTGCCTGGGCCCTTCAGTGTATAAAGTGAAGCTTCTCTAGGCAGTGATGATGGCAAATGTTATGTAGAGACAGTTGCTCCTATAAATCATGCCTCATTTTCTGGAAAAAGAGGTGGATTGTGAATGAGGTGGTGACTGCAGGAGTAAGGAAAAATAAAAACACAAAACAACTACTCATTAAGCAATCATTATCCATTTAGCTTGCTGAACAAGGCACCATTCTCACAGGAAAAAACAATATATTACAGAGTTCCAGATTAACCTAGAACAAAGGGAGTTAATTATGGATGCACAGGCAACCCTTCAACTGGCATTTCTTAATTTGTGTTCCTAACCTCACAGCTCTAATCTTGCTTTAGCATATTCTTTATCCGTTAAGGCACAGGCCCAACAACTCTGTGCACACTTAACAGACTCTTGACACCTTAGAAACCTCAGAGCCTGAAGGACCTCCATAAAAGCTCCTAGAGACCCTTGCATAAGAACCTCTATAAAACGTTCAAGTAGCGAACTACAGAACAGAAGAAGCTCTGCACTTACACAACCCAAGCTAGCTTCTTCAAAATAATATAAAGATCTTTAGGCTAGGTTGATGTATCGCCTTAAAAGAAACAAAATATCAAATTCACTTCTCAAATGTAGAATTCCACAGATAGGAATACATTTTCTTGGCAAATACATTTACTGCAACATAAATTTACTATATTTTTACGCTAAGTCAACAAGAGAAATACTAAGCAGAAAGTGCGACACAATTATTAAAAGACATTTGTTTTTATTTTTCTGTATATGATTAGAAAGCCAACACAGGAACTTGTTTTCATTTGCTTTTACTAGAACAGTTCACTATTCATTGTTGGTTTAGCGATAATCAGTTTTTCGATAAAAAGACAAAACTGGAAATTTAAAATATTAATGTCACTGCTCAATATGCTTTATTTATAATATTATGGAATTCTCTATAATTTACATGTCATTTACATTTGATATTTCCAAATACTTTTATATACTTTTAAATACATGTATTTGCTGTATAGGAAGAAACAAATGTAAACAGACAACAGCCCATGCTCTTGATTTATTTTTGATATTTGTGTAGATAAATATGAAATAATTTCCTTATATTTCAGACATGTGATACTTTAGGCTTTACCTGGCTGGAGAACTGTTTATTAAACTCATTATATGTCATTCCTTATAGTAAATTAACTTATACAAGCAATTATAGCAATGTTTTAACTTCCACTCTTTCACAGCTTCCCCCCAAAAATGGCATTATAGAAGTTGTCCAATATCTTGCAATATTTAAATAAAGTAAAAAATACTCTAATACCACTAATGCAGAGAATAGCACTACTTTTGGAAAAAGACATGTTCAGAAGAAAGATTTATACTGTTCTGTCCCTTCAAAGTAGAATATTTCTACTACACATAAATTGTTTGCAAGAAAGTGCTACTCCTGAATCTTTTATATGTAACAGAACATAGACTTGGGAAATTTTTTAGAATTCAAGATTTCATTCAATAATGCAGAGTCTGCTGAAGTCAGTAGCAAAACTTCACTTGGCTTTACTATTTCAGGATCAGGCCCTAGCTGTTTCAGCTTCATGTCACAATATTTCTTTATAAAACAGGCAAGCAACAACACTCCCCACGGATTAAAAAAGCATTCAGAGTGTTACGCCAAACAAAACAGAGTAAATAAAAAAGATGAAGGTTTACCGCCAGAGTGAAGCCATTTAATAAGATGGATTAACCCAATTTTATTTTTCAGCCCTTCAAAAAACAACCTTATGAGATATAATTGTCACTGGATGACATAACCATACAGGAAAGGATAACATACTGTGACTGTCTGACAGGCTTTGAAGATTATCTTTTCTAATGCAAACCTTGCAAATCTTAGTAAATCTAATAAACGTTACTAAATCTAATAAACTTTACTAAGACATTTAACTCTTTGCTTGAGTTTATTAAATATAAAATTAAAATAAAATTAAAAATTCCAGATAATTTTTCAATTTTTCAAAACATAATTTCAATTTTTCAAAATATGATTTCAAAAACCCCGGGTAACTGCCTAGGTTAACTTTCTGTGTTATTAATACCACGCATGCTAGTCAACCTCTCCACTCGCAAATTGTTAGAAAGTAACATGGGTTTCCAAGTGAATATAGGTAGCCTAGACATTTCAACTACCAGAGTAAATAGAATAATTGCTTGAAATACTTACTTGGTTTGATACTGGCACAATATGCAGATATCAACATACCTATTCAGTGTGTGTAACTTAAAGAGTTCTCTCTGTAGTTATACTATTCATGTGTATGTCTAAGAATATTTTTTATCGTGATCCATGCTGAAGTGGTCAAGTTATCTGCTAAAAACTGCCCTATTAACTGTATCCATTTACAGTTAAAGCTCAATACAGTACCAGAGGCTGCCTAAAATTATTTAGAAATCATCATCTACAACGTTGTTCTCACCTACAACTAAAATGAATTTTCTATACACAAACACGCTGACAGTGCAGATTTTGAGGTCTGCATAATGAAGAACTTGTTTTTAACAACCCTTACCTTGCCTTCTGCACTTCCAACTGGCTTGTCCACCTCCTTCTTCTGTGCTTTCTGCTTTCCACAAGAAGAACCAAACAAAAGATTAATAAAAAGAGTTTTGCAAAATAAGGCATCTCGCAGGAAACAGCAGTTAAGACACTCTGCACTCCAGTCACCGCCTGTAGTAGAAGTCCCCCCTGGTTTAAACATTGAATCAACTCTAATTCCAGAGTTGTGTGTTTGTCAGTGATCATCGGTACAAATGCTGCTTTTCTGATTTAATATTTCAGACAGGCTTTCAAGGGCTTCTCACTCAAAGCTTTCCCCTGATCATCGCTTAATGATTGGCCATTACCCATGAAGTTTGCCTCGCCAAACGTTTCCACTGGGTCCTAAAGGATATTTACTAAAGCCATTATATAAAAACTGCAATTCTGCATGCCAGCTTTTTGCTCAATCCTCTAATCTCAGGACAGTGCTATCCTTCTGCCAGACGGCATAAAACCATGCTGTCCCTTTTCATCAGGCTTTCCAGATTTTCTGTTCATTATCATGGCATCTTTTTCAAGTAGAAGACTGCCTGTGCTGTCACATTTGAGATATGTATATTTTACAGTGACATGTATTTTTGGTGGTCTTATGGCAGCGGACATTTTATTTTCCAGTTTAGTCAGTCCGGCTCTTTATGTTGTGGAAGACAAAACATGAGCTAATTCCTCTGAAAATGATTTTTTTTATTCACTGTTAATTTTTAAAGGGAAATTAAAACACAGTAATCCCCAAAACACCCAGACATGCAATAGACTCTCCACATTAATCAACAGTCACCATTAATATTCACTTTTTCAAAGAGATCTTTGCAAAATCAGGCATTTTAACTTTTATAAGACTTTGAAGTAAGAATGAAAAGCTAAAAAAAAACAGCTTTTGTTTTTAAATCACAATGAAGAGCTTGTTTTCAGGGACCGTTCACCTTATTTTTAACAGGACATTCAAAGGGCAATCTAGACTGCCTCTCTGCATAGGACTTAATTGCGTTAGTAATAAGAAGTGTGCTGGACAGATATGCAAACAAAACTCTGACATGCACAGCAATGAGCGCCTAGGAACACACAACCACATTCAGAGCAAAACTTTGAGAGGAGCAAGCAGGTCGAAGCCCAGCAAAACTGCCTTTGGGATCAGACCTCTTTCAGAACTCTCTGCTGTGGGCCCAGGTTTGCAATGCTTGACTAGAATGGGTATTCAAACAGCATACCAACTAGGAAAAATAGCACTTTTATTTTAGAGACTATGGGACCTGGAGAATTTTTAAATATTTCCAACAAAATAAACATACAAATTAGGAAAACATACATCACTGAATAGAGGACACCAAACTGTTCTGCAGCGGAATGTGTAAGTAATTGGTGAATTACCTGAACAGGCTATATACTTTTGCCTAAATTGTTTAAGAAAATATTCAGTGTTTTGATGTTTGTTCCATTATACCTGCAAATGGGAAGACTATCAACAATCCACAAGTGCTTAAAAAAAAAAAATTTTTTTTTAAAGTTTCCAAACACACCTAGGGTCCCCTTTAGACACATGATGGGCTTCATTTATTTCTAAAAGTTGTTATAGCTACTTTAATGTTTCCAAACATTCTAATATATACTGTATTCAATAAAATTTAGGAAAGTTGTAATTAGCTTAATAAATATTTGCTGAGAAACAGGATGAGAATCTAGCTTAAGTCCCTACTATCATATGTGACAATAACAAAATGAAAATTAGCTAAATTCCATTGTCTTTTAAATAAACATGTTAAAGTACATTGAAATCAGAACAATAATACAAGAGGAAAATTATGCCATGGGTTCCTTGCTTCTACTTCACTGCAGCACTTGAAAAAAATTCACATACAAACCCTCTTGAAGACCTTAAAACTTCGGGTCTATTGCGTGCATATGACTTCACAGCATTCAAGAACACGTCACCAGTTATTCAGTTTTATAAGCCAATAATACAGAAAGCCTCTGTGTCCAATATTGATTTTAGATTTAAAAAAAAAAAAGATTGAAACCAAACAAAAACACATGTGATACTTGAAACATAACTGAAGACTGTCTTGAAACTGTTTATTACTGCCAAGGCTTCAATAAATATTTCTCTCAAGTATGTTCATATATATGAGAGTTTAAGTATGGTAAGATTTAAATTTGCTTTCGTAAATAAACCCAAATATGAAATACTCCGTTTAATGCATTATGTATATTTCTCATATAATTACGAGACAATAGATCTTGCTAAATAATTATATTACATATTTATAACTATTGCAAGAATAGACATGTTTTATATAATCTTCAAATTTAAAAAAAGCAAGATATACAATCGACAGTATTAGAAGAAGATATTCAAATCTTGCAAAAGATTATATAATCTTACTTCCAAAAAATTTAAAAACAAAATAACGCAACTAGTTTTCTGGCCCCTTCTTTGCTCCACTACCCCTTTCCCCCTTTCAGACACAGAAAGCAGATTCTCGATCAACTGGTATGTGTTTCCCCCCCACCAAGAAATGTGTCATGGTAAATAAAAGTGGTTACAAAACATTATTCCCCGTAAATTATGAGCTCACTGAACATAAACACACAATAGTGTTTCATTTTAAAATCCCTTCTCCAATGTTAAATCTTGCACTAACTCAGATGGGGTCATTATTTGCCTTCATGTTCCATAAAAAGTGAGCCTTCATGTTCCATAAAAAGTGAGTCAACCACTTTAAATTGTCTTTTTCTAGTTAATAAATTACTCACACATTGAGACCTTTCCCACATGCCTAAACTTTACCATTGCACTGCATTGTTTCTCCAGCTATCCAGTGGGCACTCAATTAACACTTGTAAGAAAAGCAAAGTTGGACATTTAAGTGTAACAAGTAATGTATCTGTAGGTACATTAACATTCATAAGGACTTAAGTGTAAATATAAAAAGTAATCTTTGTAAACAGTTCTCATATCATACCCAAAACATTGTTCAACGAAGCATTCAAGTCACAGCTCTTAAGACAGAAACAACCTTATAACTCAAATATATACTCATTAGCCAAATATATTCTTCTAAATATAAGAGCTGCCAATGCAAAAGTCAGAAGGACGATCAAAACAGTTGATCCAGTGTGGTTCATGTTGACCCTTGGTTGCTGGACCCGATTAAAGTCAGTTGAAGACGGAGCCCTTCTCTGACTCTGCTGCTGGGCACGGCGCTGCCGAGGACTCATAGAGGTATTACTGGACACAGGAGGAGTATGCTCTTGACTAGATGTTGCACTGCTGTTTGGACTTTCAGCCTAAAAAAGAAGCATGAATACTTGTGAGGAAAGACAGCGTATAGAACTAACAATGTGTATCCCACATAAATCGTGAGAACTAAAATGTACTCTTTAGGTAGTTTTAATTACTTGAAAAGCTGAAGACAAACATGTCACCAGTAGTTATGAGATCCTATTATAGGCATCATTTTTGTCCTTGTACTATCTTAAAAAGAAGTCTACTTAAACCTGCAAATTAGCAGTTCTATGGAGAAGAAAAACATTCCTGAAAAAAAATGAAGAAAGTTTGTCAAACAATGTTTGAAATTTAGATTACTTGAAATATCCTGACTTGAAACTGTCTTTGTTTAGGATTTGCTTAACTCCTTGCAGTTCAATAAAAGCTTTAATAATCCTTCAGACAGTTAAGTCTCTGAGGATTTGTAATGTCACCTATATCAAGGGGGAAATAACTGGAGGAGAGCAAGAAAGGGAAGAGAAGAGTCCAGAGAGTTATAATTCAGCAGTGTTCCAGTGCTTCCTGTGGTTAGCTGGGTCCAAAATTCTGTTTTCATTGCCATCTCCAACACTGAAACAAATAAAACTAAACACTTCCAAATGGTTCCAGAATGAATTACTGAGCACTGTACCTATATATGCACACATCTATTGCCCTCTACTGGTCAAAAGTTGGTCTACCATTATGTGCAGTAAAAAAATAGACACGTATGTGGGCAACTGATGTTCAGCTCTGGAGAGTAAAGAAAATCATCTTCCAGTTTCTGATGTTGTAGCTATGGGTTCTAATAGCCCATTAGCCTAATCCAGCTTGCAATGTTAAAAGGGTCAAACTTGCAATGTTTTAGTATTAAAAATAATGACATAGCACAGTTGTTGGAGTTAAAACAAACATTTCAAAAAGGTTCAATTTTGAAGTGTTCAGAGAAAAAAGGCAGCTCGGGTAAAAAGAAAAGTTGCTTCTTCACAGTTGTCTTCTCCCATCTCAGCCCAATGCGCAGAAACAGTCCCACATAAAACCATCTGCAAGTATTTCCAGAGTTAGAAGTCTTAAAAAAAAAAAAAAAAATCCTGATCATCATTACAGCAGGTAAAACTGAGGTTTAGGACACTATTTTTTTCTCCCAACAAAAGCCTCTTTAACAGACACAATATCCGCAACCCTGAACACTGGTCTGGTGTGTCAGCTATGACACTCAAGAAAGATGCAAAAGAAAAGAGAACTAACAGCCAGACGCTCTGTGTCCAGTGATATTCTCTCCACGTTATGCAGAGGAAAACGTCCTCAACTGTGTATGAAATCTGACGATCCACAAGACAGCAGTACCAAGTCCTGTGACTCTCTGGCCACATATTTTGCAAGCTCCAAACGTTTACCTTGTCAGTGATCTAACTAGCTCAGAGAAGAGATCTTCCATTCTTACCTAATCTCCAGTACTATTTCCCACTGTTTATTACGAATAACAGCAATGAGGTACTGATGTAATTACTTGCATTATTTGACAACTTGCCTGTTTACTTAGGTTTCCTGCCCAAGCAAGCAAGCTCCTTGGGCAGCTTCAGAGAAATGGATGTTTAAATAGACATATTTCCATTTTGGGTTTCATCAGCAGAGACAGCCAAGAACGCCACTAGCAGCTGCCATGATTTCTATTACACCACAGAAGAAAGTCATTCAGCTTTGTACTGAACCCACCTGAAAGCTCCTAAAATAGAAATTCTCATTGATCCTTGATTTGCTATGGGGCAAATGGCCTCTTGCCAAGGAAAAGAAAGACTTAGAGAAGTTGAACCTTTGAGAATGACGCTGATCGATTCATTTACACTCCCAACTTTCAGAACGGAGATGGAGAGAAGTAAATCCAGGAAGTGAAACCTGCATTCTCAGCAAGGGCAAAGAGTTAGCTCAAAAAAGTAGCTCAAAAAATAAGAAGTCTAGAAACTTTCCTGATTCTTCATAATAATTACCGAAAATAATGAACAGTGGATGTCACATTGCTGGGTTTCTTCTTAAAATTGCAAATTTCATATTTAAAAATAAAACAGAAAGACCCTGTTCTGAATGAGACGAGGTGCTACACACCGGCATGAGCTGAGCTGTAATCCCAGACACACCTCGCTGACAACTGCAATGCTATAAATCAGCTTTGGAAGGAAAAATGATATAGGTGGATCAGTGTAGCAGAGGATAGACTGCTCCATCCAACGCTGAACTAGTCCACTTCCTTGGGACTCCCAGCACAAGCAACATCCACCCAATATTAAAGGACATGCAGGAGCAGGTTAGATCAGAAAGGGAGTGATCATTGCTCGACACAAAACTTGGGAATAGATGCTAGTGCATCTTAAATAATATATATATATATTTGCAGATTACAAATTTTTTGCTTGAAAATTTAATTATCAAATAAGAATCTCATAAATGGCAGATGAGCTGCATTATAAATCAAATATCCCTATCCCCTTGTCTTCACTTACGGCGAGTTTTTAAATGTTCTTCCTATGCAAGAATGTCAAGATTTTTAGACTTTCTAACACAATACCTCATATTACACATTTTCACTCTGATTTTAAGTCACTTTCCTGCCAAACTACACCTGTAATGAAACTGGGGGGATGGGGACTATAAAATGCTGAAAACAAAGTTAAGTAAGAGCACAACATTGCAACCTCCTTTATCCTTTCATCTTTACACTCAGTGAATATTCACCACATGTACCAGATTATTTCTGAAGCTGCTGAAACTTGTTAGGACTGACAGAAAAATTTTGCTCCGAGGACATCCAAGCTTGGTAAGTATGGCTAGTTTAGTAAAATGTACATATATTAGATTTTATGAAGGTTTCTGTCATGTAAGAAAATGCAAGTAAGGAAATCTACACTGTGTTCAGTCTGTTGAAGAACAGTAGCATTCACTGCACCGTTTAGATCTCCAGATCATTATTTTAAGTTTTATCAGATTCTGGAAATACAATATATCTTGGAAGGGGATGTTTTTAAAAAATAGAAAAACTCTAGCAACTCAGAACCATATAAATCCTCTGGGTTCCTGAAGCCTTTGTCTTTCAGTTATACTCATGATCTCTGGAAGATATAGAAATAGGAAGAGACAGAGATTTGTTAAATATTAGTTTGTGCATCTAGCTCCCAAATGAAGAACAACTAGAGCCTGACACGGCATTGCTTAAAAGCTAACAGGAAAAATGTTTATTTTTTAATGAACCAATGATAACGTTGAGCAAGTACCCCTAATTACCAAAACTCATTTAAAACTATTGCTCCAGCATTAGGAAATTTAAGACGCTTAAGACACTTATCTTAATAGTGATAAAAGAAGGAAACATTTTTAAACAATAGATCCACCTTTCAGTACATAAGACTAAAAATGACAGCTTCTGTAAATCCTCATGTATCAGATGATATGTCTCATTTTCTCACAGGAAACTCCCTCTCATTAGTTCAAGGTTAGTTGATTTCAGTGACACTATTTATTTCCTTACTCTTCATTATACCACTTAATCTGTCTGCTACAGTAGTACTAGACACTACTATAGTATTCTGGTTAATAATAGGTGTACTATGATTTAGTATTTTGCCAAATTGTCAATAAAAAGCTCTAACAACAGTTTTTAACCTGACACTTTTTAACTCTTGTCAAATACCAATTGTATTCATTGACCATAAGCACCAAGGCGGGACTCCATTCCACTTCAAGATACTAAATGTAGGTTGCTACAAGTGTGGTAAGAGTTTAGACTCCCCATTATAGTCCACGGGGATCCAGCCACTACCATCAGTGGGGCAGAATGAGCAATGCAGCTGAGCAGCCTCTACTTCTCAGTGAGCTGCTGCACTGCTCCCTACACTCCACTGACTAGATTCCCATGGACTATGATGAGAGCTTTGGAATCTACTACACTGGTAGTCACCTGCACTTTGGTGACCTAATCTAGAGCTGAGTCCAACCTGAGTAGCTATTGTATATTCACTCACAATATTCTTTTGCTCCAATGCAGAAGAATTTCATTTTCTTAACGCTAATAATATTTACTTTTATCAAGTCAGCTTCCAGCAGTACTTCACTTGCAATTAGAATATTCAAGCACAAATGATGTACCGTTACTTTGCCCTGAGCAGATACTATCAACTACTATAAATTAAAAAAAATGCTGTATGTACCTGTTCTGGAGTAGGCTAGTCAGAGTTTTCCTTTCATAAGCCTATTCCACTTTGCCTCCTGACTCCTTCAGAAGTACTGGGTTGCATGATGCCTTAGGAAGCCTAGTGTCTTAGCCTTAATAATTCTGAGGGTCTGCTATCTGCAGCTTTGTCACCCTTCACCCAAGTTGCGGTGGCAGTGTTTTTCAGAGTCTCCATGACAGCATTTTTGCTTCTATTGTTCTCATGTTGTTGTTCTGGAATTGTTGTTCTCATGGTCTTGCAGATCTCAATACCGCTGTTACGACAAGTTCTCACGGGAAGCAACTTCCACTGGTGTGAGAATCGTCCCTCTTGCCTCTCTTCTCAAACAATAGAGGCAACACACACACACCCACATGCGCACACATCAATTACACCATATAATCAACATGGTGTAAGCACACTACACCGTATTTCACATGCAAAAACTCTGTAAAAGAAATACTAAACAACACAACAGTTCACACTAGGGTAGTGTTGCTGTCAATATTACAATTGTCATTACTAAAACAGAACCTGATACAGCAAATTGAGTTTTAAAATCTAAAAAAAAGATATGCTGAACAGAGAACTATTATAATCATGAGTTTCTGTGCTTCTTTACTAAAGTTAGGTCTATAACACTTTCTTCTAAGTGAAAGCTCACAAAAGAGAAACTTAATTTAAAATATTCGTCTGTTGATGGAACAAGAAAGTCTTTCTTCATATAGAAGGTCCTGCCTGCACGAGTGAACTCAAAGCTATGTCAAGCTAGAGACCCATTTTAGTGCGCTCTTCCAAATAGGAATTTAGTTAAACCCATCCCTGAAGGAGCATCACTGTACTCATAATTGTCTTGCATTAAGTCACTGCAAAAAAACCCTGTCCTTTCAAAAGCTTAAGGTAAAAATCACAGAATTTACAATTATTCCTGAAAAAAACAAACTTATCTGCAAAGAAGTAGTCTGTAGGAAAGTTTTTTTTTCCTCTAGAGTGAAAGGTAGTCTAAAGATTCTCATCTCTTCATCTACAACTAGAACCTTTCCTTAGCATCTATTTATCATTACTTTTTTAATGAAGACTGGTTACAGCTGGTCCAAGGGCAGAAAAAGATAATACTACACAGGCAATGCTCCGTTCTCTCTGTAAGATTACTACTATTTGATGCCTCTGAATTGTGCAGCAGGACAAAGTCCTATGACTTCAGAGTGAGGCACATTAAATCTACTATCCCAAAATGAATTATGCAAGCTAATACAAGGATTCAGCATTAGTTCAGCCTTGTTCTGATTATTCCTCAAGTGCTGTGAATTTCAAGTTCACAATAGCAAATTTTCTATAATAATTTTTAATTAAACATTTGTTTCTATAGTAAGTGGCAAACATTTTACCCAGAAAGGGAGAAAAATAGCTTTGATATTGACCATATCTAATGTTTACAATTGCCGAATTAAGTCTTCACACAGCAATAACACAGCAAATTCTTCTAGGCTTAAATAATTTTACATGTGTAGGTAGTCCAGCTGAGTAGGAAGGAAACAAGGTTTGCATGGACACTCTTATGCCTGCCAGGTGAGGAACGGAGGCCTTGATCTGCTACTTTTAGAAGATTTCTGCTAGCTTTAGCATGAATAAGAATGTAAAAGTAGCAAGCTCAAATTCTTTAAAATAGTCTTTCACACCACACATCTTGTTCTTCCACTGTGTTTCTGTAAGCTTTCAATCCCCAATGGCTGCAGAAAATTCCCAGCTCCCAAAGTTTGGCAGTTTGGAAACACAGGTATTTTTTTCGAATTCAAAATAACAATGGTGACAGAGGGTGACATTCTGATCCCTTAAAATATTAATCCACTTTTCATAGTTACAGTTTATCACATAAAAATGTTTATGTACATTTATATAATGTTTAAAGCTTTCATTTCATTTGAGGCCACTCTTCTAAAAATCCAGTTAACCATCACTTATAAAATCAGCATAACTGATTCTTGGAAATGGGGTAATTAAAATCAATCTTTCATGAAGTGTCTCTTTTTGCACAATAAAATGCTACCAGTGCCTTGGTATTTTGGCTATTTCTACTATAATAGCCAGGATTTGTAATGAGAAAAAGAGAATAAAATAAAATGATTTGTTAAATCCTAAACAATCTGGAAAAACCTTATTGTGGGGAAAAAAAGTATGCTATTAGCATGTTCATATTTCTACATAGCTTGAGAATATGTGGCAAACATGCAACAGATGGTCTGACAATATTTGACACGTTTTAGTTTTTTTTTAACCAATCTGCAGCCTCATCCTTTCTAAAAAACACAGCTTATCTGGGATTTGTCTACAATTTATCAGCGAATTTAGATTGCATTTGCAGGCACAATAGCAGCTGCCTTGGCCCAATACCATGCCTCGGTCACTTCCGAAGTTATTATGTAAGCCTATACCTAGCAGTATTAAAATGCAAATGTCATATCACTTATTTAATGATTTGTTTATTTAAAAGGTTATGAAAACAAGAAAATATTCTTTATTAATATTTAAAAGCTACAAATTTCCACAGAAACATTATTTTGCTTATGGCTAAGAATTCTATTGCAAGAACCTGTGATATACTACGTAGATAGTAAGTTGTAGTACTCAGACACCAAAATATTTGTATGAATTTGTAACCAACGCATTAAAGGAATTACTCAGAATAGGAGTTATAAGAAAGTTATTTAAAGTCTGTTACTAAGGGACGGAAGCGAAAGTGAAGAGATTGCTTTCTAAAAAACACACTATTTGCCAAAGTTTACATGAAAAGATTTTGTATAAAAATATGCACAAATACTAGAAGAAATATATGGACTGCACACTCTTAATGAAGCTTCCTATCAGCTTAATAGTACAGATTTCATATTCAGACCATGCATGTACTTGCATCTGATAAAACTCGAACACAGACCATACCATCGTACTTGCTGGATCCTGGAATGCTCTAGCTACACCATCCTGCTGGGGCTCAGGTAAAGCAGCAGAGTGATTCAGTCCTGATGTGTTTGAAGGTTCAGCATCACACTTCCTGGATGAATTGACTTCTGCCTACAAGGAGGACATATGTACTCTTCAGACACGAGATCAAAATTGCTCCAAAAAGATCTGGCCTGGTTTTGAACGACCATTTCAATGTATATAAGAGACTTACTGAAATGTTATCATCAGGTATGCCAACTGCACTCCAATTGCACACCAACAAATTTAAGAGATTCTAACTCTTAAGTAATAAGACTACAGATGAACAAATATCAGTTTAAAAATGCTAGTTCTAATGTAAAATGTGTAAGATTGATGGAGCAAAAAAGAAAATTCTTCAGAAGATCCAGGACAAAATTATCCCAGAGATAGCACCATTTTTTAAACTTCTGTTTCTCGGGGTCCTTAAGTAAGCACTGACTACTTTTTACACATGCAGTAATATAGCCTATTTCTCAGCAGGGCTAACTAGCCTCAGAAAAATGCTATGTTACTGTGGATATACTGGCTCTAGGACGGAAGCTACCTCACGGCCAGAGTGCGTATACATGCATGGCACTACACTGTCAAGCTGGCATACCCCACTTTTCAGCATTTAAATTTCAGCATAAATAGGGCAAAAGGAAAAAATAATATTGCTTTTGTATGCCTTAATAAAACGTCTAACAAGCATCACTTCCAAATACTAATCTCTCACACTTGGAAAATCTGAGGCATTGACAGATCAGAAATGCTATGCAAGGGATCATGAATGGACCTGTATTATTAAAATATACACTAGCAAAATCCCTAAAATCCCTTGCAAATAGAAAAGGACACAGCATTATACTCCTGAACTGAAACACTTTACATTCCATAAGTATCCAAAAAAAAAAAAAAAAAACACAGGACCACATCAATTTCATCAGCAAGTAGTGTGTCTCTGCCTCCCCCAGGACCGTAGTGCTGTACCTCCCAAATCGTGTATCTGGATTCCAAGTTATACCAAAGACAACAATTTCAAATCTAATACTAGGTAAGTACCTGTTTTCAAATGCAAATAGAAGTAGTAGTAGTAGTAGTAGTAGTAGTGAGAAATATAAACATTGTATTAGAAAATAACCCATTATATAAATAACAAGCTGATAAGATCAGGAGATAATAATTCAACATTCTTCCATGTTACTATTTGACATGAGAGAATAAATTCTGTTTCCTGATACATAACATTTCAGAAGGATCAAAATGTTATCTGTCACTGGAATAATCTGAAAGTTAATTCAAGATTTTAAAATGCCTACAATAATTTGACAATATTGCATTGCTTTCACACTTTACTCTGAACTCCAATACTAGATAGCACAAATTATGATTCAAATATGGGCCAGCAATAAAGCTACACAGAATCAGAGAATAATTTAGGTTGGAAGGGACCTCTAGAGGTCTTCTGGCCCAACTCCTTCCTCAAAGCTGGCCTGTTTTGAGCATCTCCAAAGGCAGAGATTCCACCACCTCGCCAGGCAGCCTGCTATGGTGCTTGGCCATTCTCATGGTGACATTTTTTTCTCGTGTCCAGTTGGACTTTCCTTTCTTGCAGCTTTCAACCGCTGCTTCTTCCAAGAAAAGTTAATTTCATCTTTTCAATTAATCTCTCGAAAGCGTGCACACTATAAAATACTTATTCAATCTAGCTTATGAAAATACTAAGCGGTCTTGAAACATGGGACTGATGATTAAGTCAGAAACATTCAGATTAGCATTCCAAACATCATGCCAAAGTTCCCAAAACTGAAGTGTCTTTCTCACCGCTCAGTCTCTCTTTTCTCCAGCCCTTACCTCTGCTCCCAGAAAAACTAGACTAAACAGACTTTAAGGAAAGAAGATCAACATATTTAATGTAACAATGAGGGTGGGGGGGAGAATTAATTCTACTGCAAAATACACCTCAAAATCGGTGGCATAAAATGGCAGGTAGACGCATTAATGCATATGCTGTTAGTTATATATCTTTTCTTATTTTCGTTTTTTAAGGTGGAATGTAATTTATGGTATATAGCACCTAAAATCCACAAAATAATTTGTAAATCAATATAATTCTGATTAGAAAATGTAAATTTTCTACTAAAACAGATAGGAAAGCAAAGGTGGAAGCTCACAAAAGTAGAAAAATTGTAATTTGGAAACTTCTTTCTGAATTTCATGTTCCTTTCTCAATACCAAATACAGGCAGCGATTAAGAAGTTATCCTTTTGCTTAAGGCTAGCCTAAAATAATTTCTTATAATCTCTAGAAAAAGATAAAGGAGCCTCTTACACGAGGATCACAATAACACAGAGATTGCTAATACATTTTCTGCTAGAGAGGCTCTCCCAAATTATATACTCACCTGGCAATCTGTTGTTAATTCTTATCTCACAGGTTCACACAGAATATCCACATGATTAAAAACTAGAGTGACTTTTGTACTTCCTGCCAGTAACTCATACTATAATTTGTGCGTCTGTGCCAAAATAGTGTGCTTTGGCCTAACATCAAATAAACAATAAAAAAGCCAAGCAAAGTAGAAATGTAGAAAGCTTAGAAAATATGATCAGTGAAACATTATTTGAGAAAAGGAGGGAAGGAGCAACTAGAGCAGAGGGCTGACTTCAGGAGTGAGGGACAGGACGGGACTGAAAAAACATTTTTAAAGGCTGTAAAACCTGAGGTTTTGCTCATTTTTCCCTTGTTGAGTGCTTGCTCTTAAGAGGTGGCATTAAATACACAGAATGCACCAATATTCTTAAGAGACTGATCTCCCTCTTTCGTTTCAAAACTGAAAAAGGTATAAAATGGAGATACCTTTGATATCTCTGTGATAAAGATTAACAGTTCTCAAGCAAAAACTAATCCTACACATTTTTTTTTACAGCACGTAAGGGTTAAAAAGTTTTGAGACCTTTTTATGATAAGTATTTTTACAAACAGACCCAGCCACGTCAGCAACTAGATGCAAGATCACAAAGGAATACACAGGTCCTGCAAAACTGGCAGTGATGCTCAGTATGAAGCAATCTTCACTTTCATAGCACACAGAAGCAGTGTTTAGGACAGTGTTAGGAAAACAGTGGTGATACAAGGGAAAAAATGGTTCCCCTGACCTCAGTGAGGATGTCTTCGGCACCAGCACGTTGCCACAACATGTTTCACTGTAGATACCTGCCTTCATGCACAGCAGTCTTCCTTAATGGCTCATTTACAAGTTTAGTGAAAAACCTAATGAAAAATAACACTGTGCATGCAAGACATGCAATTTTCTATGGTACAAATTTGACTAAAGAAACCTTATTCTCACTGAAACACAAGCTAGAGAACACATTTTTGGGGTAATAGCCACTTCCATACCAGAGTTCAACTTTCAGTATCTTCAGCTGCAGAGCAGTTCAAAAAAACTTGCAATCATTTTTCTGTGTGAATATGTTTTATTCCTTCCATAAGCCGAAAGAAAAAAAAAAAAAACCACAAAGGAAAAAAAAATTAATTAGCTTTGCCCAAACTTTCCTAAAATATTTATGCTCATACCAAGTCTGGAGAATTTCACCACGTTACTTCTGACTGAAAACATGGAACTAAAAACAACATAGTTAGGCAGTTTCTAGCACAGGAGTCATTCACTGGCACTATAGCTAATCAACCAGTGCTTGAGATGCACAATTTATTAGTTGGCACATTCTCACACATCTAGTGCCATTTCCTTCCTTCAGCCTATCCACCCAAAAATAGGTTCCCATGCGGCGATTATGAATGTTTGAGGAATTAGGAACATTACTGCAATTTACACATTTTTCAACTTCTGTACAAGAAACAGAGAAAAAAGTTCAGTTACTTCACCTTGAAGCTAATTTGTCTGGCAAGTTCTTTAGCCTCTTTGTCTGCCTGGCTTGACATGCTTCCTGACGTTAGCGGTAAGAGGGCTGTCTTCATAGACGTGCCACATATTTCACAACAGAAGTCTTGTGACCTAGCCACACACAACATAGCTCAGAATGGCAGGTTCTTTTCTTGTTCTCGTATGCTTGTTTAAGCAAACTATTAGCAAAACAATCCACAGAAAGACAAGTGGTGCCAACACCAGTAGTTTAAAAGTATTTCCCCCCGCCTCCCACTTGCACTATTTTGAAAAATTAGGTCGAGAATGATCTATACTACAAACATAGTCTCTGTCATCAATATTTTCCTGAATGACATGAGATATACATATTATTGATATCATCTATTACTATACTAATAATTTGTTAACATTTTAAAACTTATTTCACATATGTAGTAAATTAAAAGTGCAAATTATACAGAGTTAACTCTGTTATTATGAGCATAAAATTGGACGTAGGAGTTTGCACTTCATAAATCCAAGAGTTTCACTTTCTGTCAGAGCGCTCCCTCTTGCATACACAACAGTTTACCTATAGGGCACACCGCAGGCAGCTCTCCAAGCCAACCAGAAACCACATAGCTTTGGCAA